AGAGAGAGAGAGAGAGAGAGAGAGAGAGAGAGAGAGAGAGAGAGAGAGAGAGAGAGAGAGAGAGAGAGGCTGTCCAGGGGTCCTATGCAACAGCTTAGCATGTGAAAGCCATGTGCTCTCCAAGTCCTGAGACAACGTAGCAGTCTTCCCCTGTGCTAAGGAGAACCCACCTGCTCTGTAACCTCCATGTGTTCGCTGTTTTTTCTCTCCCACCTCTTACCCGCCCACCCGCACACCTCCTCGGCCTTGGACTTCCTGGAATTTGGGTTTATCTAGCTGGTGTAGGGGAAAGAAATCTAGAGAGTCCAGAGGTCTGTGTTCTAATGTTCTAATCATAGCCCTGCGCCCGGCAGACATGTGACCCTTAGCTGCTGGCTGAGGGGGTGCAGTGGGGGGGGTGTGATTTAATTCCCCCAGGGCCTCAACTTTGTGAGCAACCAAAGGGAGGTGGTAATCCTTGACTGAGCACCCTGAGGGCTCCTGAGGTCACAAATGACCACAGATATGATCACATTTTTGCAAAGTGTAAAAAATGTATCCTGTAATACATTACTGAAAATCTTTTCAGTTGAGTTTTGCACACAGAAATCCCTAAATGTCTATGCTCCTTGGACTTACTCAGAAGTGTGTGTGTGGGGTGTGAAACTTCAGTCCCACCTTAACAACCAATTCAGACTCTCTGAAAGTGCTCCATTTTTAGTTCTTCTTGATCTTCTTGTCACTGCTGATCAAACCTAGGGACACTCACTCCACCACTCAGCTATGTCCCAGCCCTTATTTTTATTTTTATTTTTTAAATTTTAAAACAGGATTTCATTAAATTTCCTAGGAAGGACTTGACCATGTGATCCTGCTGCCTCAGCCTACCTTAGTGCTGGGATTGCAGATATGTGCTACTGTGCCTGGTTATCTGTGCGTACTTTTAAATCATAAAATTCTGTGTTTTTAAAAATCATCCTGCCATGCTGACATAGTTGACCCGAGGACACCAGAAATTGGGAATGCTGCAGAAGACAATTTCTCTTTTTATTTTAATTTTTGAAAGTCTTTTAGGTACTTATTTATTTATTTGGTACGGGGTCTTGCTATGCAGCTCAGACTCCTAGTGATCCTCTTGTCTCAGACTCCCCACTGCTGGGATTACAGGCGTGTACCACCCACCTGGTTTCAGTGGCTGGTATGGTGCACCCCGGGTTCCAGGACTGGCACAATATATGGTACCGGGGATCGAACCTGGGCCCTTGTGCTGGCTGGGCAGGAACTTAGACCGCTGAGCTATCTCCCCAGCACCAATTTCTCTTTTAAAAATGTGTATGAGAGTGATGTCTTAAAAGATCTTTAATTTGGTTAACTAGCATTTTTTTGAGCACCTACTCTGTGCTAGGCATTCATCTACTTGATCTTTCAGCTTTTAAGGTCCTGTGACATGGCCACAAACTGTGACATATGCATTCAGTGGGTTAACCAACCTGGGGTGAGGGAGGCCTCCATGGACTCCTCAGGAATTCATGGACCTGAAGAAGCCCTGTTAGGTACCTGGGGACATACTGCAAATAACAAACGAATTAACCCCGTGATCCACATGTTAGGGAGTGAGAGGGTAAATTAGAGAAGCCAGAAGTTTGGGGAAAGACTACAATTGCACAGGGTGGTCAGGGTAGGTCTCATGGGGACTGAGAGGTCTGAGCAGAGACTGAAAGAGGCAAAGATCTTAGTCCTGTGGTGTCTGGTACAAGAACAGATGTATCAGCTGGGCATGGTGGCACATGCCTATAGTCCCAGCATTGGGAAGCTGAGGCAAGAGGATCACTGGGAGTTTGAGGCCAGCCTGGGCTGCAAAGTGAGTTCAAGACCAGCCTAAACTGGAGAGTGAAACCCTATCTCAAAAAGCCAGCAAGCAAAAAACAAAAAAAACCAGTGATATCTGTGCAAACATGGCCAACATAATACGCAAAATATTTTGAGTATCAAAGCATTTCAGATTTCCGATTTTCAAAGACTATGCAGACCAACGAACGTGGTGCTGAAGGAAAAGAAGGAAGCCTCTGTCCTACCAAAGTTCAAGCCAAAGCAAAAGTTTTGAAGACCAAAAAAGCTGTGCTGAAAGACATCCACAGCCACAAAAAGAAGAAATGAATGTTACTCATCTTCCGCTGTCGCAAGACACTACAGCTCTGGAGGCAGCCCAAATACCCTCGGAAGAGCGCCCCCAGGCAAAACAAGCCTGACCACTATGCTATCATCAAGTTCCCCCTGACCAGAGTCAGCCATGAAAAAGATCCAGGACAACACCACACTCGTGTTCATTGTGGATGTCAAAGCCAAAAAGCACCAGATCAAACAAGCTGTAAAGAAGCTCTATGACATCGATGTTGCCAAAGTCAACAAGACCCTAATCAGACCTGATGGTGAGAAGAAGGCATATGTTCAACTGGCTCCCTGTTATGATGCATTGGATGTGCCAACAAAATTGAGATCATCTAAAGTGAGTCAAGCTGGCTAATTCGAAATACGTACTTTTTTCTCCATTAAAAAAAAAAAAACACAAAACCACAAAGTCTATGCAAAAAAACCCAAAAAGCAAAAAACAAAAAACCTCTCTAGAATCTGAAGCGCTTCTGGTTCCACACATTTTGAATAAAAGACACTCAACCATTCCCATTTCACAGAATAGGAGACAGGTACTCAGAAGAGGAAGTAATCTGCCCAAGGCTCCAATTTTTGGGGAAGGAGTGTGCAGCCCCCAGTTGCCTTCCTC